TGGATTAATTCAGCCAAATACATTCCAGGTTCATCAAAACAAAAGATGTTTGATGTCTACAGTCCATATTCTTTCTAAAATAGCCACAGACTGAGTAGAAAATCCTGTCTATGCCAGCATGCTGCAGAGAGGGACTCTTGCTCTCTTTGTCAAGCAGTGGTCTCTCTGCAGAGGTCTGACACTCCTTCTACTGAGTCGGAATGATAACACTGTAAGCCACCCTGGCAGATAAGAAAAGTAGGGAATAGTTTTGTTTTATTTTAGGTCATGTTATTCACAGTGCTGAAGCCAAATACGGGCTTGACAGCCAGCAAGGTAGTTTTTCAGGAGAGATTAGCAACAGCAGTTTCAAGCGGGCTCCCCAGAGCTTTTGCTATAATGTTGAAGTATGTACAGCATAATTGCACATGTTGGCCCACTTACTTTGCAATGCACCCTCTTTCAGCAAAGTGATGTCTGCACTACTGCTACATCGCTGGCACTTTCATCTTCTCCTAGTCTTCCTTTAGGTTCAGAGTCTTTGGCAGTCTTCATTAATGAATATATTGAATTAGCACACCTTTATATAAATGTGCATTTAATCATACAGAAAACACAATGACAAAGCATAGAAAGTATAAACAGTGTACAACAGTGCAATAGACCCTGACTGTTAGGAATACATAAATATATTATATACATTTAAATACAGATTAAGCAATATGCATTGTGAAGTATGCAGCTGATTACCCTCATGAGCAGATTAGGTTAGAGGAAATGAGGTCTCTTTGTATCAATATTCAGGGGGAAACATCCCTTCTTTGGGTTTCCTTCTTCAGGTATGTCCTTCTTCAAGACTCTCCTTCTTCAGGTCTCTCTTTCTTCTTTGGGTATCTACATCTTCAAGTCTCTTCTTTTTCAGGTCCCTCCTTTCTCAAGCTTCTCTATCTTCAAGTCTCTCTTTTATCCTGTCATTCTTTTTTTCTGGTCTCTCCTTCTTCAAGTCTCTTCTTCTTCAAGTCTCCTTTTTTTCAAGTCTCCTCTTTTTTGGGTCTATTCTTCTTCAAGTCTGTCTTTCTTCAGGCCTCTCCTTCTTCAAGTCTCTCCTTCTTTAGGTCTCTCCTTCTTCAGGTATCTCCTTCTTTAGGTCTCTCCTTCTTCAGGTATCTCCTTCTTCAAGCATCTGCTTTTTCAGGTCTACCTTTCTTTAAGTCTCTCTTTCTTCAGGTCTCTCCCTTTTCACGTTTTTCCTTCAAGTCTCTCTTTCTTCAGTTCTCTCCTTTAGGTCTCTTCACCTTCAAGTCTGTCCTTTTTCAGGTCTCTCCTTCTTCAAGCATCTCCCTTTTCAGGTCTCTCCTTCTTCAAGTCTCTCTATCTTCATCTCCCTCTTTTCACGTCTCTCCTTCTACAAGTCTCTCTATTTCTTCAGTTCTCTCCTTCTTCAGGTCTCTCCTTCTTCAAGCATCTCCTTTTTCAGGTCTACCTTTCTTCAAGTCTCTCTTTCTTCAGGTGTCTTCCTTTTCAAGTCTCACCTTCAAGTTTCTCTTTCTTCAGTCCTCTCCTTCTACAAGTCTCTCCTTTTTCAAGCATCTCCTTTTTCAGGTCTACCTTTCTTCAAGTCTCTCTTTCTTCAGGTCTTCCCTTTCAGGTCTCACCTTCAAGTCTCTCTTTCTTCAGTCCTCTCTTCTTCAAGTCTTTTTTTCAAGCATCTCCTTTTTCAGGTCTACCTTTCTTCAAGTCTCTCTTCAGGTCTCTCCCTTTTCACGTCTCTCCTTTAAGTCTCTCTTTTTCAGTTTTCTCCTTTAGGTCTCTTCATCTTCAAGTCTGTCCTTTTTCAGGTCTTTCCTTCTTCAAGCATCTCCCTTTTCAGGTCTCTCCTTCTTCAAGCCTCTCTTTACTCAGTTCTCTCCTTCTCTAGGTCTCTCCATCTTCAAGTATGTCCTTCTTCAGGTCTCTCCTTCTTAAAGTCTCTTCTTTTTCAGGTTTCTCCTTCATCAAGTCTCTCTTCCCTCAGGTCTCACCTGAAAAAGGGGTCTTCACCTTGAAATGTTGATAATAGGAGACCTCATTTCTTCTTGTCTAAGCTGTTTATGAGGGAATCCCTGATTTTGCTTACATAAATCAAATTAAGGTGTGCAAGAGAAAACTCTAGTAATTGTGTTTAATGGTCTTCTTTGGCCAGGCTGGGATGATTTAACTCCTGTACATGCACCAAGCTGCTCATGCACAGCTTGGTGTAAACATGGAAAAAAAATGCTGATAGACAGCAAGAAGCATTTATAAAAGAAGATAAATTCAGTCTCTTCTGTCATGAAAAGCTACCTGTTAGCATTAAAAAATTAGTTTAGTTCCACTTTATAGATATATTTAACATTTAGAGTGATCCATAGATAAATAGATTGATTAATAAAAAGGACAAAGGTAGACGGATAGATAGATAGATAGATAGATAGATAGATAGATAGATAGATTACATGGAAGTAATTTGGCTGGAGTTCTTCTTTCAGACCAGCCGTCTCTCACCAGTTGTGCCATAGAAGCAGTTTTCTGGTGGAGCACACAGAAATATTATGTAAAAGTGTGCTCTCTGCGTATGTAAATATTAATATCACAACCTGAATCTATTTCTGCTGTCTCTGAAAGTACATCTGTTTCGACACCTGCAAAATTACTGCAAGTTGGCATTTGCGCTTCTGCAGAAAGTTATGTAAGTGTTAGCAACGACATCTGCCAGAGTGACGGGACTGAGTCAGGAATTATTCCAGCCAATCAGGAAATTATTAAAAACGGCATTCTGTTATTTGGTTTTGTCAGGACCAACTGTTTCATTATGTCTGTTCTAATAGTGCGCATTTTGTGTCTTCACAGATTTAGCTCTGCAGAATACCGATGGACATTATTTAAAGCGGTTTTCTCTGTATATTAGTTTTATCGTTAGCCAATAGCTTTGCAATTGATTCTCAGGGCTTACAATGAGTAAAATGCATTATTTACAGTAAGTGCTTTTTTGTTTATTTTGCCCTAAATGGAAGCTTTTGGTTTGGGGATAATGTCATTTTATTTTATTTTTAAAACAACTCTGATGCCATTTAAAAATTATATTGAGCCACACCTGTGAAAAAGTAATAAATACCTGTTGTGTCCCAATCAATTATACATTTTAGTATTGTTACAATGTATTGCATTATGTTATCAATATAGTGGTATCTACTGATATCAGGTGGGGAGTGTGTTGCTACAGCAGCCTGTTTATTTTGTGCATTTGGTATGTTCCTCTGCCTCCCCAACCCCCATTTTGTCTCTGGTTAGTACATTTTCTAGCTGTGGATTCTGGTGAATCAGCAAGTGATCATTTTGTACCTATAGCCTGGGTCTAAAGAGGTATATAATTACAAAAAGTGACATTTGAAACAGAGAAATACGTATCTGTCCTGCTGCCCGCGCTGCTTATCTGTAGGTCTAAGCTTACTAAATCATCAGGGATACTTTCCTTTCAATACATTTTTATTGGTTTTTTTTTTTTTGGTATGCATTGTAACTGCTGTCATGTTTACAAACAGATACATAAAATCAATGGCTTGCAAACCAAGGTGGTTGTACATCATATACAAAAACTGTAACAAATTACAAAGCTTGTGGTGCATCAAAATGCTACATTGACCATGTTATATCAAAAGAAGAACAGCATAAGTAACAACAGAGACACCATACACCCTGATTGAGGAATCAGGTGTTGGTAAATGAGATATCAGTGTATAAAATGCACTATTTAGAAAAAAAAAACAAACAAGTGCATAAGAGCACATCACAAATTGTCCCTACAGAACAGCCTAGAAAATAAGAAGAAAGAAAAAGGAGGAGAGAGAAAGACAAGCGGAAGGGGACATCAAAGGCGCTCGAACCTGGGCCCCGAGTCTCGGTGTTTATAGCAATGTGTAGTTGGCTATTGACATAGTAGGATGGCCATCTTGGATCCATAGGGTCCATATTTTAATGAATTTGCATCAGGAATACTTTCAGAACTGTATAATACCTGGTCTGCCATCAGTGGAGGACTCGGCTGGTGGGACAATGGGGAATTTGCCTCCTACTCTAGATCTTCTAATTTATGTTGTCCTTGTGGCCTTGAGTGAAAATAATTTGCTATACTGATGTTGATTAAAGTGGGACTTCCAATCAATTACACATGGCAAACATTATCAGGCTGCCTGCTCCTTATTCAGACCTGGGATCACTGCATTTAGAAGAGGTAAGTCTTCCAGCATCAATTTGTTTTGCAGCTCTGAGAGACCGATTGGGGAACTCTGCAAAGGAAACTGATGATGGAGGTGTTGTTAAAAGGAATGTCACATTAACCACTTGCCTACCAGGCACTTATACCCCCTTCCTTACCAGGCCAATTTTCAGCTTTCAGCACTGCCGCACTTTGATTGACAATTGCGCGGTCATGCAACATTGTACCCATATGAAATTTTGATCATTTTTTTCTCACAAATAGAGCTTTCTTTTGGTGGTATTTAATCGCCACTGGGCGCTTTACTTTTTGCGCTATAAATACAAAAATTGCAAAAAAATTGAAAAAAAAAAAGTTTCTTTGTTTCTATTATAAAATTTTTCAAACAGGTAATTTTTCTCCTTCACTGATGTGCGTTGATGAGGCAGCACTGATGGGCACTGATAGGTGGCACTGATGGGCACTGATAGGCATCACTAAAGGGCACTGATAGGCAGTACTAATGAGGTGGCACGGATAGGCGGCACTGATAGACAGCACTAATGAGGTGTCACGGATAGGCGGCACTAATATGCAGCACTGATAGGCGGCACTGATAGGTGACACTGATGATGGGTACTGATAGACGGCACTGACTGGCATCACTGCTGGGCACTGACTGGCGGCACTGACTGGCACAACCCCTGGGCACTGACTGGTGGCACTGACTGGCAGCACTGGTGGGTGGCACTGGTGGGTGGCACTGGTGGGTGGGCACAGGTGAGTGGCACTGGTGGGCACAGGTGGGTGGGCACAGGTCGGTGGCACTGCTGGGCACAGGTGGGTGGCACTTCTGGGCACAGTGGGTGACACTGCAGAGTGGCACAGGTGGGTGCGCTGCTGGGCACAGGTAGGTGGCACTTCTGGGCACAGGTGGGTGCACTGCTGGGCACAGGTGGGTGCACTGCTGGGCACAGGTGGGCGGAGCTAGTGGGCGCACTGCTGGGCACAGGTGGGCGGAGCTTGCGGGTGGCACTGCTGGGCACCGATCATCAGGGCACTGATCATCAGTGCCCTGATGATCGGTGCCGATCCCCACTCTGACAACTGCCGGTTCTCGGCAGTACTTTCCTCACGATCTGACAGCGTGAGGAAAGTGCAGCCGAGAATCGGCACTTGCATTTCCCTCTGATCAGCGTGTCATTGGACACCGCTGATCAGGTGGTAAAAGGCGGCTGTGATTGGCCTTTTACCACATCACGTGATCAGCTGTGTCCGTAGGACACAGCGATCACGGAGATCGCCGGGTGCATATGACGTCCACCCAGAACTGGCCGGCCGCAGTGCAGCCGTCATTCGGCTATCTGAGGTCGGCAGGTAGTTAAATCATATTATTTAGCACCACCAATCAATATGGCATTGTAACACATGCGTTGTACACTTTCTTTAGCCCAAAAGTCCCTATCATGGGAAGGCTAGTTTATTGTGCTTGTCCAAGGTTCCCATTCCTCCTCTCTGTTGTTGCACTCTGTGGTTTCTTCTGCCAGCCTTTACATTGCACGTTCTACTGTCTACGCCAAACGCTGCTTCTTTGAAGATCCAAGCTATGCAAAAGAATGGTTAGAATTCTGAAGTTTTGAGAGTGTTGAATGTTGCTGTTCCCACTTGTTTCTGAAGTCTTCTCCATAGGTCCTTACATCAGTGCAGGACTGTTTATAGTCTAGTTAGGCTCCACACTTTGGGGAAAGGAAGAGTACAATAGTTCATAGAGCATATTTTGAAGATACCATTATACTGACATGCTTGTGAATGAAAATGTTCACTGTAAAGCTCACCACTCACATTACAATTTGATTATACAATCTCCTTTAGATCTGCAAACAAGTATGCAGTGCAAGGACCTGCATGATAGGATAATAATTGTCTGGATAGATTAGGTAAATCCTCATGTTACATAGTTTAGGCAGCTCCAAAGTTGACTGAACCCAATTAGAAAAATGCCTGATTCTTTTTAAAAAACATGGGCCAGTTGGTGACCACCTATCCCAGATAAACTGCGGAAGAGCAGTCGCCCTGCAGTGGATCAAGTACATGTACATGATCTGGCTCTACTGTGTAGTGGGCGCATGCACCTGTCACCCCAGCTGTGCTGTCATTTGATACAGCACATGCCATTCAGCAGGTCCCAGCCAATGATTTATGGCTGGAATCCGCTGATCAGCTCAGCGAATGACAGAGGAGAGCCCTTTGTTTGTAAACAACACAGGGCTCTCTAATGACAGCAGTGATTTGCCATTTTTTTCTCCTTGCAAAGCAGGGAGTAAAAACCGAGACATTGCTTAGTAAAACAGCACACAGTAAACATTGGTAGACACAGTTAACCCTTTTAATTGCCCCTAAATGTTAACCCCTTTCTAGCCAGTGTCATTAGTACAGTGGCACTGGAGATGTCAGTGTCATTTAGTCAGTTCCCACCCAGCGTCAGTTAGTGTCAGATTACCCACTGCACTATAAAATTTCCACTATAAGTCACTGATCATTGCAGATACTAGTATAATAAATAAATAAATAAATAAAAAAATTCCAATACCAATCCCATTGTTTGTAGATGCTATAACTTTCACACAAACCAATTAATGTACACTTATTGGGATTTTTTTTTACCAAGACATGTAGCAAAATATATGTTGGCCTAAATGTATGAAAAAATTAGATTTATCAGTTTTTATTAATTGGATATATTTCACAGCAGAAAGTGAAAAAAAAAACAATTTTCAAATTTTTGGTATTTTTTTCATTTATATAATTAAAGAGTAAAAACCCTATGATCGTCAACTACCTCAAAAAGAAAGCTCTATTAGTGCAAAAAAATGATATAAATGTCATTTGGGTACAGTGTTGCATCACCTTGCACTTGCCAGTTAAAATAACGCTGTTCCGAATTGCATAAAATGCCCATTTATTTATTTATTTCAGGTACTTATATAGCGTCGTCAATGTACGCAGCGCTTTACATATATATTGTATATTCACATCAGTCCCTAACCCTCAAGGGGCGTACAACCTAAGGTCACGTATCACACCCCTGTCTGTTAAAATGTAAGAAAAAACAAACTTACAATTCAGAGTCAAACTCCAGATGAAATGGAGGCCCAGAGTAAAAAATAAAAATGCAAAATAGATGGAGGGCTGGCATGAAAGGGTTAAAGGGTTTTGACTCTAGGTTGGGGAATGTCTGCAGTTTTAAAAGTAAATAGGTGGCAAAGCTTTTGTGATTGGGTCAGGGAGAAATGGAGCTGCAGGGGGCTGTCTGGCAGCTGGCCTGGGGAGGTCTTCAGTTTGAGGTCAGCCTGGTTGGGGAAAACTTCACACCCTCCCGTCCTGTTTGTATTGGTTTTTTCGAAGTTGGGAATTTTGGTTGTCTTGGTTTGTTTTGTCATGCGGCCAGCAGGGTGTAAGATTAGTATGGGCACAAAGGTATGGTGTAGGGACCTGTCTGAGGTACGGTTCCCATTTATTGGGATGTGCATCTGCAAGTTGTCTCCGACTTAGTGGGAGGCCCAATTAGGTGATACGCAAGTACTTTCCTTAGTTTGATGCCTAATATAACCTTGGGGCTCCATTTTACATTGAGATATTAAGTGACTTTATTTATATATTAATCTGTTATTTATATTTGGTTAGTAAAATACTGCTATGGCCATATGGCTATGACCAACTCCAATTTGTTGTGGTGTGGTTATTATAGGAAATGGATGGGGTTGTGGTCAAAGCAGTATAGAGACAGGCCATATTTAATACCCCAGTCATGCACCTTTTGGAAAGAAACCATGTCTCTTTTTAAAGGTTAAGTAAATCCTGGCATGCTTATTTACCTGAATTTGCCCCCACTTACTAGTACTTATATAGCTCAATGGTAAAGAGAGGGCAAACGCCAGCAAATAGATATAAAGGCCCTAGGCAGCAGCGTGAACTTGAGCAACCAGGGTATTTTACCAAATGTAACATTCAATGCCACCATCCTACATACTATAAAAGTATGACATTTATGGAATAAAAAAAGAAAATAAAAGAAGTATGACATATAGTAATACACTGAAAACTTGTTTTTAAAGTCTTCTAACTATCATGCTGACCATACACTTTGTAATTTTGTAGCAATTTCAGCTAATGATTGCAAAAATGACTGAGTGGGTCAAAGCAATCTACAACAAACAATCTTCAACAATTTATGGTTTTTGATAGAATCTGCTTTATTGTATTGTATGTTATCTTTTTTTAAGTATTATATACAGGAAAAAGGGAGAGGGGAAACAGTGAAAGAAAGGGTTAGGTTCAGGGGAAGAATGTTCATGTACTGTCGATGATGATGATGAAGATGATGACAATGATTTTTAATATTAGTAGTAATATTATTATCATACAGGTTTTATATAGCACTGACAGCTTGCACAACACTTTACAATATAAAACAGTTTACATATTTCATACAACTTAAAAAATAAAGGTAAAGGATATACAAGTGCCTTTTAAAAAAAGGAAAGGGTAATATTGAACAACAACAACAGGGTTCTAACATGCCTAATAATATTGATCCTGAAAATGCCAAAGAAAAGTCATGTTATTAAATAATTATCATAAATAAGACGGCACAAATACAAAAGGTTACATTTAGAGATAAATGCATATAACAATTCAGTAATTAGCCATAGAGAGTCTTCTTTAAATGTAGAGTTAAAGTGAATTTTGATTGCAGCCACTAGAGAATGCGGAGAATAAACAGCTGTTCTACTGGAATCAAGGATCCGCAGTACCAAAAATGGGTGGTTATCTTCATCAAAACTTGCTAAACTGATGCAAAATTGTGTCTGATCAGCATTGTAGCTTAGACGAGCCATAGACGAGTCGAAACCCAAACGTTCTGTCGATTGAAAAACAAAAATAGCTCTTACAATTGTGCCATCATTTGTTTTGTTTTTATAAAATCCAGCATGTTGGATCAGGCACTTTCAATTGTGACACAAAAATTGTGTCGCAGCTGGCACACTAATGATGCGAAAAGCAAATGAATAGACAATCAACATGAATTTTCGTTCAGTTTTTGACTCATCTAGGACTGGCTTTACCGTGTAGGATAATTGCACTTTTAGATATTAAGTTAAACCTGACTCAATCAGTCTTGTGAATGTTAAGGTGTTACTAAACCCAGGACCCTGCATTCACTATATCTGGTCTCCCACAGCACATAGAATGTGGAAATGCAATTATTTTAGCAACTATAAACTGATAAATACCTTTTCTCATCAGCAGTTAGAGCAGTCTTGTGACTTCTATCAGTGTCCAGCAGAGTACTGGTTAAAGCTTGTAGGAGGAGTTTTTATTCTGCTCTAGGAGGATGCAGGACCCCTGACCTCTGTCTGAACAGTGTTGATTGGCCCTGTGCTGATCACATGCACTCTCCTAAGAAAAAAAAAACTCCAACAATACACACTAAACTGAGCATGTGCGAAGTTATTCTGTGCTATCAGGGGATGGATTGGGGACAGTAGAAGAAGAGAAGGATCAGAGAAGACAGGATCAAACAGCCTTTTCACACAATGCAGAGGATTACCGTAGGTTCCACAGTGAGTATAACAAGCATGCTTTACTGCATATACAGACTGATTTTATTGTTTTGAGCTTTGTAACACTTTAATACTGCACTGGTTCTGATAGCAATGTCTACCATTATGTATATATATATTGTACATTCACCTCAGTCCCTAACCCTCAAGGACCATACAATCTAAGGTCCCTAACTCACATTCATACTAGAGCCAATTTATACAGGAACTAATTAACCTACCAACTTGTCTTTGGAGTGTGGGAGGAAACCAGAGTACCCGGAGGAAACCCACGCAGGCACAGGGAGAACATGCAAACTCCAGGCAGGTGGTGCCGTGGTTGGGATTCAAACCAACAATCCTAGTATTGCCAGGCAGATGTGCTAACTGTTTAGCCACTGATTAGAACAGTGTAATTCGAATTCCACACTATGGGAGATATTTATAAAGTAGAGGTATGGCCTTACAAATGGCAAATTCATAAAGCACAGCTTTGTTGCTTACAAATGTACTTAGCACTTTGCTATCTTTGGGCTTGAAGGGGAAAAAAAGCCAGAAGGAGAGCATGTGCATGTGACCCATCAAAGTCATGTGACTGTCCTCCAATCACAGACTTCTCTCTGTTGCGTTTAGCATAGAAAACTCCTTGACATACTGCGGACTCCACACTGTGGCAATCCAAGAAAACAATGTCTAGGACATTCATTGCATACCACTGTACATTATTTAGTCATAAATTCCAAAGGTTAAAAACAAGTAAAACACTTCCAGCCAATGACAATTTCTGGTACACAGCATATACTTGATCAGGGCAGTTGGACCCAAGTGCTTTGCACAAGAAATGTTCTACAGCTGGATGCTTTCAATGTTTTTAACCTTTGTAATTCATGGCTAAATAAAGAGAGTGATATGTTTCGAGTGTCCTGGACTTTGTGTTCTTGGATTGATGTATTTATTTACCCACTATGGGATTTCTATGGGAGGTGAGAAGCGAGGTATCTTCAAAGGCAATCTCTTCAATATGCACTAGTCTAAACTCCCTTACTAATGGTGAGGGCCAAAAATCTATTTGCATTTTATTAATGGGGCCATGAAGTGCAGGACATGGTGTGAACAAACATTGCAGTGTGCACATAGTGATATCTGCCTTCTATTATAAATTAAGCCCCAAGTTTTGCATTGGGAGCTAAGCAACTAAAATGACAGTTGGCAATGTTGATATTTGTATTTGAAAATGAGGTATCAAGCCCATATGCCCTGATAAGCCCATAAACCCTGATATTACATAAGTCTACTTTTATCTTAACTGGTAATCGGTTAAGAAACTAACGGCATATTAAGATTTATAGTTTCTCGGAATCTGAGAAAGCAGCAGACTGGCCATCCCTAATATAGATTCCTCGGCAGCTGTCAGTGTTACCCAGGCTGGATCAGCAGCCTAAGTCTCGCTCTCCGGCTGTGTGATGGAAGAGCGGACAGATAGCTGTCATCCGAAGAGAAGACCAAAGATGATTGTTAGAAGGATTTGGTAGCTCATGTATTTTGCCTAATAGGAAAACCAAGCTCAGCATTTCCTGGAGCAAAAGAAGACAGATGAAATCTCAGGACACATCAACGTTCCCGCTTCTCAAAGATTTCCTGTCAAAATTGGCCTATGAGGGGAGAAAGCCTTTCAATAACATTTTTTTCCCTCCGACGCCTGGATTTCCAGTCTCCCAGCCGAGATAGAAAAAAAGCTGCAAAAGACGAGATCTGGCCTAGTCCTTGGTTTTAAAAGAAAAAGAATGTGACCTTGATTAGAGCAGGAAAACAAGCTCTGATAGAGGTCCGCATTTTACTTGTCAGTTTCAAAGGGAAACAGTGTTGTCTATTCAAATCAGGCCATATATCAAAAGTGCCTGAAAGAGGATGTGTTTTCCCTGCCATTGATAACCGATCAGTTTCCTCTATTGGAGCTTAGGACTTAATACATATTTGGGAAGACAAGGCCTTATTGTTCCTTGCAACCACATTCTCACTTTCATGTTTCATGAAAAGGGACAACCTGATTGGTGGATATGAACCTTTCTCCAGTCAATCGTTGCTATTGATTTAGACCACTCTACTGCTTTGCACTAGATTGGGGGTCTCCAATCATTCCAAATAAAGGGCCAGTTTACTGTCCTTCAGACTTTAGGGGGACTTTGCCCAGTGGAAGTAAAAAATGACCCGTGTCAGTGGATGTAACCAATGCCCCATTATTGATATTAGTGAGAGCAATAGTGCTACCGTCGCTGGTATCAATGGGATGAACAGGAACCCATTGCTAGTGTCTGTGAGAGCAATAGTGCCAAATGGCTGGTATCAGTTTGAGGAATAGCACTTTGTATCAGTGAGAGAAATAGTGCCCCATCATTGTTGTCAGTGTGAGGAATAATGCCTTGTATCAGTGGGAGAAATAGTGTCCCATCATTGTTGTCAGTGGAAGGAATAATGCCTTGTATCAGTGGGAGAAATAGTGCCCCATCATTGTTGTCAGTGGGAGGAATAATGCCTTGTATCAGTGGGAGAAATAGTGCCCCAAGAGCTGGATAAATGCAACCAATGGGGCCACAGTCGGCCTTTGGAGTTCATTGTGCTAGAGAACCACAGAGACATCTCCTCGATGAGCCCCCAATCATTGCCCTATTCCCAAATTTCCAACCAGCCATTACAATGAAGGAAAGTAACCATTAAGCTGCTCGACCAGTCATGTATTACTTTCAGAAGTTGCATTGATATTATAGGTCTGGAATTATCAACATGATACAACATTCTATTATGGACTACCCCCATTTTACAGGAGATTACTATACTAAATACACCCATAATACGATTACTATTTACTCACATCCTGTCCAAATTCAGTACCCTATTTAGACTTTTTAATGTGTCAGTACAATGATTTTGCCACTATTTGTGAGGACAGATGGCCTGTACTCATGGAGACATGAAAGGGAGACATTTGGCCTTATGTGAAAGAACACACTTTTTCTGTCAGATGTATCTGGCACTTCAGTTCTCATCCCAACTGTTCTATATCCAGAAAGAGATCTGACAGTTTTATAGTTGGAGCAATCTACTGTATACACAGTTCAGGTATAGAAAGAGAAAGTCTAGAACAGCCATCACCAATCATTTTACCCCAAAGGAACTCTTAACATAATTTTCAGGTCTTGGGGCACCCCAGCTGAAATTATTTAAAGCTCAACTCCAGGAAAAAAAAAATGAAATTTAAATATTGCATTGTTCATCAATTATCTTACTCCTCAGTCTTGATTCCAAACACCTTTTTCTAAGCCATCCTGCAGTGTTATGGATCAAAGTCACAGCTTCCCCCTATAAACAAACCTAATATCCTGCCCTGGGGACCAGGCATTTGATCCTGTTTGTTATCTTCTTGGGCACTGGTCCTATCACCACCTGTTTGAGTTCTCTTGCCTCTGGAGCCTATGAGAGAAAACCTGGCTGCTCGAAGGGTTGCTTCCATCAATAGGAGGTGTGCACTTCAAGTAGGCAGTGGTGTTCACACCCGAAGAAAGATCCCAGGTCGTAAAGAGAAGAAGAGAGAAGGATCATCCTGTAACTATGGCTTCAGTTAAGCAGGAGGAACTAAAATAAAAAAATACGAATGGGCAGGCCCTTTATTGCAGAGTTATGCAATGTCCCTTTTACAATAAAATACATCCACCTGCCTGTTCACTAAAGTATTATTGACTTTAGGCATTTGGATGTTTTTTTCTTTTCAAACCAATGGTTTGTTAGAGAGGCGTGGGAGGGAGAAGTGGTAGATGGGTTACTAATATTCTGGAGTTGGGCTTTAACTGGGGTCAGTGGAAACAATGTCCCATTGGTGGTCAATGGGAAGAGTGCTCCCCTTACAGTGGTGATCAGCATGCCAACCCTAAAAAATACCAAACAGATAATTGGTGTTATGCTGATGGCTCTGCCAAGTAGTGTTGGACCTGGAATTATGCAGGTCCTGTAGGGTTAGAGCTCAATGAACCCCTAGCAACCTCTGGAGGAACTCTGGTTGTGAATGGCTGTTCTAGGATTACCTTCCTAAATTACTGTAGTATATGTAGCTTAAAAATCAACTCAAGTAAAAAGGCACGTATTAGTTATTTATCAAATATTGTAGCTGTGCTGATGTAAAAAAAAAACTCACTTATTTAAAGGCACACTGTAGAAAACAGAGGATGAAGACAATGAAAAGTGTGACAACACTAGCTCGACCCAGGGGCGGACTGACCATTTGGAAACTCGGGCACTGCCCGAGGGCCCTGGGTCAGTAGAGGGCCCCATGAGATGCCCCTGGTACCTTTTCCATAGGCTTTTTTGAGTTTGGGTAAGGACACAGGGGCCCCATGATTCCCTATTGCCCGGGGGCCCCATGAGTTGTCAGTCCGCCCCTGGCTCGACCCTTCCATTTCCAAGGTACAGTAATAGGCTAAGGTTAGAGCTCAGCTTTAATAAGGATGTGCTGTTTATTTGCATTTTGCTTCTTACAATACCTATGTACTTGCATCCAGACAAAGGCAGCTTTCTGATTTGCCCCTGCATATTATCACAGTAATTCTCTTTCTAAGTAAAGGACGTGCCTTCTGCCTGTAGAAAACTTTTCCAGTGCTGCGTTTAATTTAGACTCCTGCCTGTGATTCCACGCTGTGCTGCCACTCAACAGGAAAGGGTTAATTGTCCATAGGATGAATATTGCAACAATCCATTTGCAGTTACTCATTAAAGTGTTAACTCGGCTACACCACGTATCCCACTAGCTACAAAAATGTTAATTACCCCACTACAAATGGTAGCTGTAAAATTATTAATTAGCTCATTGGTAGCAGAAAATAATAATTAGCCTTAAACTGCGAGATTCTGTAGACGTGAATTGGGACTGCGCTGTTCTACTTATTAAACCGACATTCTTTAATGAATATTTTAGACATCAGCACTGATCTTATAACATGCCAGCCTTTGGTCTGTGGATCTGTAAACCGAGGCTCAGATCTGACGGCCAGTACACTGTCATTGTTTCTTACGGAAATGCGACCTTTGCTGGGTGACAGACCTAAAGTGAATTCATCAGAAATGAAGCTAGAGCACAAACTTTTTGAGCAGATTAAAATAAAACAGGAATTTATTTTACTGTTTATATTTATTGCTGAGCGATCAGCAGTGGGAAATCAATGGTTTTATATCTCTGATTCTGCAGGGAGCTGTTTCTGCATACTGCAGATAGCTCTTTAATTTGGCCACACCCAGAGACAGTTTTATATCCTTCTAGAAGATGACACAGCAGGGACATTTTTGAAAGAGCGGCTTTTGGCTCCAAGCGGGGCTGCACAGGGAAGACCGCAGGAACAGGGAAAAAAAAAATATGTAACATGGTGGGCTGCACTCTGGGAGGGATTCATTAACCTCTTTAGTATCAATGTAGTTATTTCAGAGCCGTTTAAAAACTGTGCTGTAGTAATCCCCCCCAGATGGTGCCACTTAATGGCTGTGAACTGAGCTGTCATTGGATGGTTCAGCTCAAAGACATAGTGTACAGAGCCACTCGAAGAGACTCTGTACCATGCAATCACTGTGATGAGTGATCACAATTGTAAACATAGTAGTGTTTACATTGGGGGGCCCGCCCCTTCCTGGTTCAATGGAGGAAGGAGAAACTAATAAATACTGTAAATTGCTTAATTAGTTTCGTATCAGCGAATCCCATGGTTGTAGAATATTTATTCATTTCAGGTACTTATATAGCGCCATCAATTTACACAGTGCTTTACATATATATATTGTACATTCACATCAGTCCCTAACCCTCAAGGAGCGTACAATCTAAGGTCCCTAACTCACATTCATACATAAACATACTAGGGCCAATTTAGACAGGAATCAATGGTTAATAGGTTATACCAGCATGTCTTTGGAGTGTAGGAGGAAACCGGAGTACCTAGAGGAAACCCACGCAGGCACAGGGAGAACATGCAAACTCCATGCCGGTGTTACAATTTGAACCAACGACCGTAGTACCACTAGGTGGAAGTGCTAACCATTTAGCCACTGTGCTGCCCTAAATTTAGGGAGGAATTATTTTTAAGCCTTTGGCCTCATGCACACTGAGCTTTAAAAACGCTACTTTTTCTGGCTTCTGAAGTTTTTTCTCTTCCTCCAAATGCCCCAAGGCTTTTAGAAGTGTTTAGAGGCATGGGCATTTGGTGGCAGAAAAAAAACTACTGCCAGTGCGTCAAGGAGCACCAGCGTTTTGGCAGGAAAAAAAAAAAATGAAACGTTTGACGCATGTAAACGCATCTAAAGACATCTAAACTCACTTTAAAACTAGGTGTGTCAAGTGCTTGAGCATTAGTTAATTTTAATGGCCAGAATAAAATATTTTTCACATTCGTCAAGCGTCTTTCTGACAAAACGCTACTGCCAGAAGAAAAGGCATTTAGGAGAGCTGGGAAAGTGCCCTGTATACACGGGACCTCTAACCTCCTCCCCTCCAATACATCTAATCTCCATCATGACTGTAGGTGACCTGTTTATTACATTTTCACCTACTTGTGCATATCTGCACATTACCTCCTTCATCTTCATCTTCCCACCTGTACAGTAACCCCTTTCACCTCCTCCTCTCTCTGTGTATGACAGACAGTTCCATGAAAAGGAATGAAGACTGAAACAATGGTGTACAAAGAGACAATCCACTAAAGGGACTTCAGTTCTAGCTAGTTTCCAAGCTCAACGTGGGGAGCAGGTCATAAAATCAAGGAATTGTTTGATCCTGTAACCCCAGATGCACCTAAGATAGGAAGGAGAGATAGGGGTACAACCTGGGTAGGTGGTGAAGCTGCCTTCGGGCTGCAGGGTATAGGTATAGGGGTAAACAGGAAATAGTCAGAAGAGGGTGGGGTAGGGAAGTAAGGGAGGGTTTCCCCACAGGCAAGAAGTCAAGGAAAGGGAGGAACTGAGGTCTGGCATCTGCAAATAGTAGGGTCTTACTTAGCGTTGACAATGTGTAGATGTTCCAGTGAAGCCAGGTTGTGGTATATACAATCCATTTGTTTTGGATTAAGAACATCAGATCCTACATGTGCATCCAGAATCAAATGGAAGGAGGGGATTCCAATGGGCTGGGATGCAGGACATGGGCGCATTGTTCAGTAAATGGTGTAAGATGGATTTTCAATATACTTTCATGAGTATGGATGAATAATGTAGAAAGAAAGAAAACTGGGTTATTCAGGATCAAATAGTCTGTGAACGTCTTGGAGAGTCCTATAGCCTTAGTCCAAAAAGGGGTCCAGAACAGGGCAGCACCAAAAGGGTTTCAGAGCAGGGCAGGACCAAAAATTGGAAGCACTGAGATTGCGGCATTTGAGATTTGAGACATTCTGAGTAGAATCTGTGGAAGATTTCTGGGTTTTGTACCATCTGGAAATTATTTTGTAATTGGTCTTTTGGAGTGTGGTGCTGATGGAAGATTCTAAAGAAAAATTTAGTATTTTGTGGGTTCGGGTATAAGATCTAACTGTAGGTCTCTTTCTCACTGAATGATAAATGCCATTTTGAAGTCTTCTCAGGGCTGGGATATGAGGGCGTGGATGTTCCTAAGAGTATGTGAGAATGGACCCTGATTATTGAACATCATTTCAACGGGGGAGAGTGTTCTGACGAAGACTGTAGGAGTTGACAAATATATATCAAGTACAGTCAACTCCCCCTGAAACGACAGCCATCACTGTCAGTTTTTCCTCTGAAAACAGGAAAATATATAACCAGCATGGAAATCTTTCCCATTTAATAGCGTGCAGCAACAGCCCTGAAGGAGGGAGAGTCTTTTCTCCTGAAATGCGTTGTTTTGAAGTACTCAATAACTGCCTCTTAATCTACCATCAAAAGTGTATTCTTTTGGATATTGAGTGCTCCTTTTTTACTATGATTCCAAGTGTACGTATGAAAACTACCTTAGGCCATACCAGAAAGGCAGCAACCCAAACTCCAAGAGGGTTTACCGCCAGTATCCACCATTGGGCACAACTGACTGTAGGCGCATCTCCCTACCCACCCACACAACCACCCACCTACAACAAGTGACTGATCTAGTCAGTCCAGTGCTGACAGTCTTCAGTACAAACATATCTGTATTAAGGACTGAAGGGAAAAAATACATAGGGTCAAACTATCAACCATCCTCATATCCTGATTAAGTGCTTAAAAGTGTTACTAAACCCAGGACCCTGCATTCACTATATCTGGTCTCCTACAGCACACAGAACATGGAAATGCAAACTACTAAATACCTTTTCTCATCAGCAGTTACAGCAGTCTTGTGACTTCTATTCAGCAGATAACTTTTTAAAGTTTGTAGGTGGAGTTATCTCTAGGAGGATGCAGAACCCCTGACCTCTGTCTGGGCAGTGCTGATTGGCCCTGTGCTGATCACATGCACTCTCCTAAGCAAAAAAAACCTGTCTAGCAATAGACACCAAATTGAGCATGTGCAGAGTGTCTCCACTTGATATGTCTTATCAGGAGATAAGAGGGGGGGCACTGTAAGAAAGGGAGGATCAGAGAATTTAGGATCAAACAGCATTTTTACATAATGCAGAGGATTAACCCCTTAGATTCCACAGTGGATACAACAAGCATGCTTTACTGCATATACAGACTGATTTTATTGTTGTGGGTTTAGTAACACTTTAAGTAAGGAAAGAAGAATCTATTCAAATACACCACCATACTCTGCCCTTCATGTGACCCAAAATGTGCTCTGGCTCCTCAGTGGCAAGAATGACAGGCCTCTGAGCAGGACCTGGCAACAGCAGACAGTTGGCACCTAAACAAGTGACCCTCTGGAACACACAGGCCCGCAGACAGTTCTCTTACTCTCTCCAGCAGGTCCCTTTCTTCTACACTGGCTTTCAGTGATCTCCCAACTGCCCCTGCTCTTTCCCTGGATTTTCTATTTATATCACTCTTCCTGGGCTCCTCCTGCCTTCAGGCACATTGGATCTTGTAGTTTCTTTGTCAGCAATGGCACTGCTCATGGCCTAGACTACATCTCCCAGCATTCAGTGTTCTGTGCTCGAGAATCAGCAGCTTAAAGTTCATGGATGCTCCCTCTTGTGATAGGAAAAGGGAACTACATTTAGACCATTTTAACAATAATACATGATATAATCTGCATAATCCTGTAACCAGGGCAATCTTTATTACTAATTGGACCTTGGGCAAAAAGTTTCTTGGGCCCACAGGGGGTCAAGAGTACACAGTACAAGGGGTGAGCATTTGACAGTAAAGGGGGTCAGGAGAGCGCAGGGCACAGAGTACGGAGTGAGGACAAAGTACAGGAGGTTAAGAGGGCACAGCATGGGAGTTGGGAGGGCACACACCAAGGGGGGCTAGGAGGGCATACACCAAGAGGGTCGGGTGGGCCCAATACGGAATCATGAGGGCACACACTAGGGGGGTCGGGATTCCAGTCGGTGGGCAGCAATCCCTAATACAGAGATATAGTGATCTACGACGTATGGACATGTAGCAGTAAGAGAAATGGCTGTAAGCTGTCCAGACTGGGACTCTGATTTGCACAACAAGAGAATGGAGGGACAGCTTACTAGCATTCCTGACTGACTGGCAAATCACCGGCAAGTATGGGAAGCACAGGCTCAAGGGGCAGCTATTTTGGGCCCCACAACAATGACTGGGCCCGGGGCAGCTGCCCCTTTTGCCCTTTGTTAAAGACTGCTCTGCCAGTAACAGAAATTCTGGCTACATATCTTTTTATGCACTATTTCTTTTTATCTTCTTATTTTTGGCCGGAGTTCTGCTTTAAGCATGTCATTACCTTTATATAAGATATTGTGGTCCTGCTGATCCCCCTGCAGGGGATTCTGTGGAAAGCCCGGCCATAAATAGTCTCCTGGGGTTGTGTTATTCAGAGATAGAACATAAGATAAATATGGCAGAGTATGGGGGAGCTTCTGTAAAATACTCCAGCACTCACACAAGCCAGAAAAACATTCCCACAGTTGCAGCTCAATTAAGGGGTCCTGAACTCCTAATGGCTCGTTTGAAAGTCGTGCAGTTATGAGAGGTGCTTCCTGTCCTCTGCCAAACACTTAAGTAACTATTAAATCTTTTGCATAATAGCATTAACCTATTCATGCTCTTTTGTACACTGTATCTATTTCTCATTAAAAGTTTTTTCTCCTTTTCAGAATAGGACAAAGAGAGCAGAGCCTCTCCTAAGTGAAAGAAACAATGTCACCCTCCTATTCACATAACAAACTGTCATTAAAGAAGGACTCCAACCTAAACATTGCTGATTAGCCATAACATTATGACCACTGAGAGGTAAAGTGTATAACATTATTTATCTCATTACAATGGCACCTGAAAGTGGGTGTGATATATAGAGCAGCAAGCAAACATGTCCCTGAAGTTTATGTGTTGAAAAAAGAAAACAATGGGCAATTGTAAGGACTTGAGCAATTTTGACAAGGGCCAAATTGTAATGGCTGGTACTGATAGGCTTGATGTTCAAGTCAAGCGTAAGTTTGACTTGAACATTGGCAGCACAGTGGCTAAATGGTTAGCACTTCCACCTGGCAGTACTAGGATCGTTAGTTCAAATCCCAGCTACGGCACCTCCTGCCTGAAGTTTGCATGTTCTCCCTGTGCCTGTGTGGGTTTCCTCAGGGTACTCCGGTTTCCTCCCACACTCCACAGACATGCTGGTAGGTTAATTGGATCCTGTCTAAAAATTGGCCCTATCACTCGACAATGAGCATACCTCTCATGTAACATCTGGAACCTAAAATATCCCCGGCCTATTGGTGGGGATCCTTCACACCTATTTACATTTTTGTGTTCTATGATTTCCTAAGTGAACCTTATATTCTCATTTACCATGTTTTTCTTTTCTGTATGTTTGAAAAACCTTTCAATAAATAATATTTGAATGTAAAAATTGCCCCTAGTATGTGTATGAATGTAAGTTAGGGACCTTAGATTGTACACCCCCTGAGGGTTAGGGACTGATGTGAATGTACAATATATATGTAAAAGTGCTGCGTAAATTGACGGCGCTATATAAGTACCTGAAATAAATAAACATTGGGAAATAAATAAACATTGGACATTCATGTGTTCAGAGAACACATGAACGGTAAGGACATTCAACGGGCTGTTCATCCGCTATGCAATGCGCTCTCACAGTGCATTGTAATTGGCCAAAGCAATGCACCTGACCACAAATCCCAATCACAGCACAGTTGGGTGTAGCTAGCGGTGACATCACTGCTAGCTCCTCCTAATTGTTTACAGCTGACTGGCAAATGTCAGATTGCAGTGGGGGCTCGGCGCGTGCGGATGGGTGGGCGTTTTTTTTTTAATTTCAGCAAGTCAGTGTTTCTGTGAGAATGCTGGACACATGATTGATGATGGATTACAACGATGGTGTAATTTTTTTGGCTTTTTTTAAAATAAAGCACAAACTGTTGCTGTGTTTTTTATTCATATTTTACACGTTTTTGGTGAATGAGTAGGGGTACTATATACCACATACTCATTCACAAGGGGGGGGGGTAGGATCTAGGGGCCCCCTTGTTAAAGGGGACTTCCAGATTCTAAGTCACCGCCACAGGCCCCCACAACCACAGCCCAGGGTTGTGGGGGGAAGATCCCAATGCCGTGGGCACATGTCCTGGTAAGACACAGGGAGGGGGGGTGCTCGTCTACCCCCCCCTTTCCTTGCCTGCCTGGCCTGTGCTCGGATAAATAGTCTGGTAGAAATTTAGAGGGGACCCGTTGCTTCCTCCCCCATTTTTTGGGGTGGGGTTCCCCTTAAAAGTCCTACCAGGCCTACAGAGCCTGGTAGGGTTTATGGAGGAGCCCCACGCAGTATTTAAAAACAAAAATACTGTGAGGTCCCTCCTAACTTTCCTACTAGACCTAAAGGGTCTGGTATGGATTGGGGGGAACCCACACTGTTTTTTTTTTTTATAAAAATGTTCTTTTTTAAAAAAAATGTCAGTCCTGCTGCAGCAGGTTATATCTATAGTACAGATGTGCAGCTTTGCAGGTAGTTTAAGGGTACCCCCCTAGGCATGATATTTAATAGAATTTTTCCTTTTTTTTTTTTTTTTTTTTTTTTTACTTTAAGCAATGGAAAAAAGACTGCCCCTTTAAAAATGGTTCTTTTTTAAATGTTTTTTTTTCACTGATTCATGTCCCTCAGAGCAGTACCCGAGTCCCCATACCCCTTTTATGGCCAATAACTTGCATATAAGCCTTCAAAATGGGCACTTTTGAATTTACAAGTTCAAGTCCCATAGACTTGCATTGAGTTTGAAGTTCATGGTCGAACATTCATTAGGTTCGAATATTCGACAGCGAACCCAAACAGGGGGATGTTTGACCCATCACTAATGGATGGATGACTGGGTCAAAGAATTTCCAAAACTGCAGCTCTTGTGGGATGTTACTGGCCTGCAGTGGTCAGGACTGACCAAAAGTGATCCAAGGAGGGAAAACCAGTGAACCTGGGACAGGGTCACGGGAGTCCAAGGTTCTTTGATGCACGTGGGTAATGAGGGCTGGCCCAAGTAGTCTGTAGCTCAAATTCCTGGAAAAGTTAATGCTGTTCCAAAAAGATAGGTGTCAGAACAATCAGTGCATTGCAGTTTGTTGTGTATGGAGCTGCTTAGCCGCAGACCAGTCAGGGTGACCATGCTGATCCATGTTCCCAGCCAACGTGCCTTCAATGGGCACATAAACATCAGAACTGGACCAAGGAGCAATGGAAGAGGTGGCCTGGACTAGTGAATCACATTCTCTTTTAAATCATACGTACATGTGTGTTGCTTATCTGGGGAAGAGATGGCACCAAGACGTAGTATGGGAAGAAGGTAAGCTGTCAGAGGCAGTGTGATGCTTTGTCTAATGGAGTCCATGTCTTGATGGGCCAGGGCTGTTTTGACTGGAAAAGGGGCATCTACTCAATATTAGGTGGGTAATTGAACCCAACAGCCTCTTCTCCTCTATGCTCTGGCTATTGCAGGTCCTCTGACATCATCAGGTACAGTGCAGGGTCCACCAACATAACATAGAGGAGCACCGTCTGTAGAGGGGGTCAGTGGACCGGGAAAGTGAATTGATTTTCCATTTCACCCCATTTCACCCTTGCAGCTTCACTCCAAGGGAGGATTTTCACTTTCTCCATAGACAGGCTTTAACATCTTTGGTCAGTAGGAGCCAAGCTTATGTCTGCACCCAGGACTGCAACATCATGAATCACACAGGAGGGAAATCACCTTCTAGTTAATAGGAGTAAAAATTCAAAATATTGAGTGTGATCCACTTAGCTCTGACATGTCACACACAGCTACAACCTATCTGTTGAAAGTGGAACTATGGGCAAAATCAAAAATACCAAAATGATTGTAAAGGCAGTTTTTATATTTAAAAAATAACCAGTAATGGTTTTGCACAGAGCAGCCCCGATGTTCCTCTTCTTGGTTCCCTGCTGGTGCTGTCTGCTCCTCCCCCCTGTCAAGTGCCTCTATGGGGGCACTTGTTCATGCTCGCTCCCAAGCTGGTTCTGTGTGTCCATGAGATATACAGAGTGCTGCTCAACCCCACCC